GTCCAACCCGTTACTAGTGTGGTGTACCTAATAAAGTGGCCGGTGAGTGTATGTTTAATCCTGTTCATATATCTAAAAATAAATTACTTTATTTTGGAAATACGTTCAGGTCACAAGTTTTCATTTCACTTTCATGATCAGAGTTGATATCTTGTCATTTCACTTTGATTTCATAACGCAAAGATCTTGCGTGAGTTCTTACAGTGTGGAATTGAGCTGGTCTTAATTTCATWGAGTGAGTTCTTACACAGGAAAGCCCAGTCAGGAAACCACACTGCCCCAGGGCCTGTTGTGTGTGTGATTTCTCTTTCTCCATGCTCAAGACTGCATATATAGATACAATCAGCCAGCGAGAGAGTCTTCCATCAGTCAAAGATGGACATTTTGCTGTAGCATGTAAAGTGCAGTAATGGTAAATTGTAAATGGACTGAACTTACATTGCTTTATCATGGCCGTCTGGAACCTAAAGCGCTTTACACTTACAGAAATTCACCCATTCACATTATTCCCCCTCAGGGTGACCACCACAGTGTTTTTTCAGTATTTTACAATTCCTTGTTCAAGTAGCTTGTATTTTTTTCTTTTTCTTCAGAATCCTTGCTTGGTAAGCAATCTGCATTCTTCTTTGTAAGGTGTTCATTCACAAACACATCTGTACCCTTAAGTTTTTTTTACAACTTTTAGCACATCAGTTTTATATTTTGTACTCACAAATCATAGGATGATCCTTGATTTTTTTTTTTTTTTTGTAGCTTGTATTTTGCTTTTGTGGCACCGTGTGACAAGCAGCAATAGTTTTACTATAAGTATGCACAATTATTAACACACAAACACACACATTCTAATTCAAAGTGTTGACTCATCTCAAAAGAAATCCACTTCACAGAAGTTTCTGACTGTAGTTTTATGCCTCATTTAATGAAGTGAAGACACGACATCCATCATCAGCTCCAAGATGACCCCAGAGCATCTTAGCTTCAAAAATTGAAAAAAAAAAAAAAAAAAAAAACATTTCTTGTTTTCCTTCAGTTTGCCTGAGGTTTGTAGTGAGACAGTGGTTAAAGAAGGTGGCTGCAGATTGCTCAGAGACACTTTGTTCAGGGTGATTAAGGAGCAGACACTGAGCGGATCTGATTAACTGTCTGAGAACAGATGGCTATCAGATGAGGCCCTCCATCAAACTCTTTCAGCTGGACAGGGTTCACGTCGAGAGTGGGGGGGGCTGACGAGACGCCGAAAATTAAAGGGACGTGCATGCCGCTCGATTCGACGGCAAAGAACTGCTCGCCTTGGCTGCTTTTACAGAAGAAATGACACACATGAACAATTCAACTTTTAAATTAAAGCTGAACACTCATCTTCTTAAAACTTAGCATCTTCTGTTTTCTTTTCATTTGTTTTTATGAGAAGGATCAAGTTTAAAATTTGTTTAAACACAAACGAGTCTTTTTAATGCCTGGATGATTTGTTAGAACACCAAATTAAGAAGATCTCCAGTAAACCAATTAAAGTTTAAAATGTTTTACATACTTGGTCATATTTGAGAGGTTAAAAGCAATAATCATGGATATAAATTGTTTTATGGTTGTTACATTCTCGTGTTTATGTTTCAGTCACTGTTTGAAGTGTTATTATTTTGTGGGTTAATGGCTAAAAATTTSCTTAAAGTAAAGTAGTGTAACAAAATGAACACTTGAACTGAAAATGAGCAGAAAAGCAGCTAAAACTTGATGAAAGCTTGAAGGATTACTGATTAAAACCACTTTAAAGGACTACAGTGCCTGGCTGCTTGGAAGTAAAGTAATGCAGAGTGAATCTAGACTTTTGCACAGAACTTGTTCATGCTAAACTATTTGATGTGTGAGAGATCAAAAAAAGTAAAGAACAATTTTAAACTTGACAGWATGGTTTTATAATTCTCCTTTTCAGTCATTTTACTCACAAATGTAAACGAGTACCTTTGTGGTTTTTACACACATGTTCTACAGAGCGAAACACCTTTTACATCCATTTTTAATCTTTTATAGCACAGGTTATGGCAAACTGATCTTTAAGGGACATTTACGTTGTTTTTTAATGATTATTTATTTTACTGTGATTTGATTTAAATGTTAAMCCAATAACAACATTTATACATCAATTACTATCTTTCCCCCGCTATTATTACTAAAAACATCAGCAAATTTGTCCTATTTAAAAACATCTGGCTTGCTCCCTGGCCTCCAGGGGATTTCAGCAGCAGCTTCATATTGTTATTATAAGTCTCCACATTCTGCTTCTCCCGTGGCGTTGCCTCATGAGGGCAGTAAACAGCAGGGGGTCTTCGAAAAGCTTCTCCTCTTGTACACACACACACACACACACACACACACACACACACACACACACACNCACACACACACACACACACACACACACACACACACACACACACACACACACACACGAGGAAATCATTAAAAGACGTTTATTTTGGGTTGTTTCTTTTTGCCAGTATTAGCTAATTCATCTACAGCATGTAGCTGCATGTATCAGACAAACCATATTCATATACAACCAGTTTGTCATTTATTGTTTTGAAAGAAATATAGTAGAAATGTGCTTGTGACTAAATGTGCCTTCTTAATAGAAAAACAATGCTATCTGATAAAAAGTGTTGGGATTTTTGATAGAAAAAGGTTGACTAAAACCTTGTTGTTGTGGTTGAAGCTACAGTACTGACTGAGTGAGTATTAAGTATTTGAAATATGCTGTGCCATGCTTTATACCAGAGGTGCCCAAAGTGGGGCCCGTGGGCCAAGATTGCCCCCCCGAGCCATTTGATTTGGCCCACTAGCAGTTGTCCTGCTTACTAGATTGTATTATGTTAAGATTAAATATAAAGTACAAGTAACTACAAGAGACATTTAGATTAGATTTAAGCCCATACATAGATTTGCACACCTTATAAGACCACATATATTCAAATTTTAAATTATGAAAAGTCCCATRAGCCTTTGCTGCCTGAGCATACGTTGAATTTTCTCCATGTCCATGGGTTGAAAAAAGAACTAAAGAATGTGGGCAACCACACTGGCTGCTAGCTTAATCATAAAAAATAAAACAACTTTACTTAAGCATTTGCATTTCTTATATTATTGCATTTGGCCCACGACCCTCAGATTGATTTTTATTTTGGCCCTCTCAGGGAAAATGTTTGGGCACCCCTGCTTTATACAGTATTGAGAACGGACTTGATGCAACCTCCTCACAGTAGGTGGCGCTGTTTACGTTTCATTTMATTTTTGGCTCAGTCAGCAGAAAAATAAGAGCGTTTTACTTCCGTGTAACTTGTATGAATGAGTTCATCTTCCCCGGGCCGGCGTAGAGCTCGCTAACTTGTCTTAATTCCAGCATAGTTGGTTAGCTGACAACTGCTGCTTACCAAAGACAGCTGTTATGGATTACACCGCGACTCAAAGTGGCTTCAGACAACGTAAGTTACGTACGTGAATCTGTCAATCAAAGTAGTTAGAGAATCGAGCATGTTTTGAGTTCAACGTTGCGTTGCTTTAGTTAGCTAAGCTTGTTGTTCTACCGGTTTAATACGAATGACTAGAAAATAAAGTAACTGTAAAAGCAAAAACCTTACGAAACCTATGACATCGGTTCTATAAAGCGCAAACGAGGTTTGTAGCTTGTTTACAAACTGTTAATTAGGGTATGCTAACGAAGTAAGCTAGCTAATTTAACGTAGAAACCGGTGTTGTGCGTAACTGTGTTACCCCGGCTGTTGAGATCAGTTTTCTCGCCAGCAGTAGTACTATAGTAAAGTTTCAGCCACCGAGGTGGGTTTCCTCTAACAACGGACAAAAAGAAACAAGACAAGGTGAAAATCCACATAAATGATTAATGTTGCATTATCCTTAATACAATTTTCAAACGGCTGAGGTTAAAAAGGTAAACATCTCAGGGGGAACAGAGTCAGACACAACACCCAATTTTTATTTCCTGTATTATTAATATTATTCCGCTGTTTTCATGTTAGCATACTGTACATCTTCACAAGACGGAGCTCGAGATGCCATTTGGCTGTTATTGATGGCTAAACTATGTTCAATAAAGCATTATTGAAACCGTTCTGTGTACTTTTGTGCTGAGATTGAGGCTGATCTTGTGATGAGCTTGTGCTAATGTGATCACTGTTTCTGGGAAACAAATTGAAAAGCTCTTTCTTCTCTACAGAGAATGCAGATCATGAATGGAGGCACACATGCACACTGAAATGATAAAAAACAGGCATTGATGGATCAATCAGACTTTTTTGTCACACTCAAATTTGTATTAAAACAGTCAGAATTTGAGGGAAAATGCAGCAGATGTGWTCATTTGGTTGTCAGAGCTTGCTCTCTAAACTTCCCTTTTTTATCTTACAGAACCCAGTATGCGTCTGAGGAACAGCTCTGTGGAAGGTTCAGATGGCAGCCAGCTGTTTGAGGACACAAGTGGAGCAGGACCAGGATCTCAGGGCACCTATAGGTGAGAGCCACCCACATCCAGGCTGAAACTAAACTTTTAAGACAACAAGTCACAATCTGAGGAAAGAAAAATGTTTTACAACATCAGGTTTTCTCCTTGTTTAATTTGCATCATATACTTAAAAAAAAAAGGTAAAAGAATTAACAATAAWTTTCATTTCACGTTGGCAGGAACCAGCAGGCTGACCCTCAGGCTGCAGGATTTTCTGGTCAGGCTTTCCTGTCAGACCCCATGTCCAACCTGGCCATGGCGTATGGCAGCTCACTGGCATCTCAGGGGAGGGAAATGGTGGACAAGAATGTAAGACTGCCTCACATAGGTTGTTTTTTTAATTCCACCATTTAAAAGATGGCTTGCTGTTAAAATACACCTTGTGATAAAAGCAGACTGAACAGTACCAAGTAATACCTGCTTGTTTCAGTTGGACAGGTTTATTCCCATTTCCAAACTGAAATACTACTTTGCTGTTGACACAATGTATGTTGGGAAGAAACTTGGCCTGTTGGTTTTTCCTTACATGCACAAGGTACGCTTGTTTTATTTCTTCTGTTTTAAATCATCTTGTTCGGCTTATCAATATGTAGAAATACAAATTAAGTAACTTCAGAAAAAGTAATCAATCTTTTACATACATATAGCTATTATTATTGTTTCTTTTACCCTTTAGATACATCTTTTTGCCTCTGACTTGACTGTCTTTAAGACTTCTTTATGTTTAAACTCTGCAGCAAATTTGCAATCTGCTACAAAATATGCAGTCCTGCCGTTTTTGGTAAAGCGTTAATAATTTTTGTGTTGTGTTGTAGAATTGGGAGGTGAGTTACCAGCAGGACACGCCTGTCGCCCCACGTTTTGATGTCAATGCCCCGGACCTTTACATTCCTACCATGGGCTTCATCACATACGTCCTGGTGGCTGGACTGGCTCTTGGCACACAGAACAGGTATGCTGTGCTTTAGTTAAAATGATACAGCTCTTAAAATGTAATGAATGATTGCTTTTCTTTTCGAGTAGCATCATTTTGTTTGTCTTTGCAGTTATTTTATTATTATTATTATTATTATTATTATTATTATTATTATTATTATTATTATTATTATTAACCTTTATTTCACCAGGAAAATCCCACTGAGATTAAGAATCTCTTTTGCAAGGGAATCCTGGCCAAGACTGGCAGCGGTACACAGATTACAAAACATTCACAGCAAAAACAGAGTTAGCACCGTCATAGATAGATTAAATAAAAGATTCATCAGTTAAAACATTTACAAACAGATGATTCTTTCCCAAAATCAATAAGAACAGCCTTAAAAACACTTAGTCACAACAGCTCCTTTAGGTTCAAGTATCTCTGCAACTGACTCCAAGAAGATGGAGCAGAAAACTGAAAATATTTCTTTCCAAGTTCAGTTCGGACTTTAGGCACCGAAAGCAAAAATAAATTCTTGCAATGAAGAGAGTGTCCTCCAGTGGACTTTCTGTTTATGTAGGCCAACAAATATGATGGAAGAAGTCCTGGTATGGCCTTATAAATAAAACTATGCCAATGACGGAGTTTACGAGTGTCCACGGCTGTCCACCCAACCCGGTTGTATAGTGTGCAATGATGTGTAAAAGCTTTTAAAACTGTTACAAATCTTAGAGCTCCATGATAAACAGTATCCAGTGAGTAAAGACCTTTAAGAGAAGCATACGTGTATAAAATTTCCCCTTAGTCCAGTACAGACATAAACTTACAGATGTTGAAATTGAGACCAACAGAGCCACAGAAATGCACTGAAAGAAATTTTGCATGTGAGGAAGTGATAGTATAGCTCACTTAAAGTAAAGTAAAGTTTTATTTATATAGCACCTTTCATAGAAATAGATTCACAGGGTGCTGAACAAAAAAAGGAAATAAATGAAAGGACTTCATTTGTGACATCATGCATACTTATTGACAGAAACTGTTTAAATGATGAGCAAAAAAATCTGTCTATATGACTGTTTTGTTTTTTGAGTGTTGTTTTGTGATTTCCATTTGGCAAAGGAGAAACATTCAAATATAAATGAGTCATCAGTGCTACAGTAGCTTTTAGTTGAATAATTTGATAGAAACTTAATGATATCCTCACGTTTGTATTCCTCAGGTTTTCTCCGGAGCTGCTGGGAGTTCAGGCCAGTTCAGCACTGGTGTGGTTGATCATGGAAGTCCTGGCGGTGCTGTTATCACTTTACCTCRTCACTGTAAACACAGACCTCACCACCATCGACCTTTTAGCCTTTTCTGGATACAAATATGTAGGGTATGTACAAGGCTGTGCAGTCGTTGGCGTCTTAAGGTTTTTATTTTTTTAACAAATTCGTCTTGTTTTCCACAGAATGATTGTTGGTGTTGTAGCAGGGCTTTTGTTCGGGAGGCCAGCCTATTATCTCTCTCTGCTGTGGTGTTGTGCAGCTATATTTGTCTTTATGGTGAGTAAAAGTTATGCTAGGTGTTTATATTGGACAATATGTGACCTATCATATCGAAATGAGGATTAAGTCAAATTTGGTCAAAATGACCTAATTACATTTTCAGATTCTTGGCTTTAAAAGCTACATTCTGATACCTGGATCATTCTGATATCGTAATTAAATCCATATGTATGACTTAATTTGTCTTGTTGGTTACAATAATACATAAATATTTGGTCTGAATCCTAATTTTATGTCATTTTATTGAGGAATTTTTGATGTCCTTAAAAAGAGGAAACCTCAAATTATATTTGAATATTGAGATTTCCCAGCTAAAAGAAACACAGCTTTGCTTGTTCACAGGGAAATTGTCAAAATTTTAGGGCGTTTTTCCTCAAAATCAGTTTTTTTGTTGCTACTGCTCAAAAAAGTGTTTCAAAATTTTGTTTTATGATTAAATTTCAGACAGTTCATTCAAATGATACATTGATAAAGCATTTATTCTTTTTTTGTTAACATTTTAGTCAAAACACTATATTTGCCTTTTTCTCCTTATACCACTTTTGGACTTAATCCTCGTTTCGATGTGATGGGTCACATATTCCCCAAAAATAACAATACATGGTGCTTTCCCCCCCATTTTAAGTCATCCTGATCCAGAGTTTTAAAGTAACTAAGTACAAATACTTTGTTACTGTATTTAAGTAGAATTTTTGGGTACCTGTACTTTACCTGAGTTTATCTTTTTCAGCCTACTTTTTACTTCTACTTCTTACATTTTCACACAATTATCTGTACTTCCTGCTCCTTACATTTTTTWAAAAAAAAGGCAAGAAGTAGAAAGTCATTACTTAATTTCATTAAGAAAAAATAAATACTATCCATATAAACTGTGCCTCCTAGATAGAGTGAATTTAATTGTGGTTAAATGAGAAGTATAAATATATAAAATTCTGATACTGTAKTAATTTGTACACAAACAACTCATGTAATAAGTCATTAAGAAAAATCTAACTGCTCATTTTAAAATCAATGTTTTTACTTAAGTACAGAAAATATCAGATACTATAAGACTTTTACTCAAGTAAAATTCCTAAAGCAGACTTTAACTTTTACAAAAATCATTTTTTAGTTAAATACTTGTACTTTTACTTGAGTATCACTTTGTGGTACTTTATACAACACTGTCCTGATCCAAATCATGCATGATTACAAATTCACGTCTGTACATCATGTGGTTAATGAGGTGGAAACCACTATTAAGTCCTTATATGGGAATTTAAAAAAAATGCTCAAAAGTGAGACGAGCCATAGTAGCCAGACAACTTGTTCCTGATATGGCTCAGAGCTCTCCCTGATGCTCTCCACCTAACAGGAAGCCAGAAATAACTTGCTCCAAATATTACCTGTTCTAATAAGCCTTGCTTGTTTCTCTCCAGATCCGCAGCCTGCGTCTGAAGCTGTTGTCTGAGGCGGCGGCTGAAGGGAAGCTGGTGAGAGGAGCCAGGAACCAGCTGAGGATGTACCTCACCATGTCTATAGCTGCAGCGCAGCCCGTCTTTATGTACTGGCTCACCTACCATCTCGTCAGATAAAAGCTACAACACGCTCCTCTGTGTAGAGAATGAACTTGGCTGTCTGCATGTCGTTCTCAGCCTGTCAGGAACAAACACAACCCCTCCACACTCAAAGACTGAATCACTCAGAACACAAGCAACAAGACAGTAGAGAAGAGGTAAAACATTTACTACCTTTTCTCACAGCACAGCCTTGTTAAGATTGCCTTTTTTATATTTAATGTCTTCAACATTTGTAGCAAGTTGCTTTACATTTTTTTGTTTCTAAATTGTGTAATTAAATGTTAAGTTTTTTTTTTATAAATATTTATGTACGTTTGTGGATAGTTAAACTATTGTCTCTGATTTTGTATTTGGTCTGATATTTTTAAGCCAATAGAAAGAAAGCACATTAATCTGTCACAAACTGGACACTTGATGTTGTGAAGGAACTCGGATCTGGATTAAAACCCGATCAGCTGGTTCTGTCTGATAATACTGTCACAGTTGGATCTGGAGACAAAGTTTGTGAGTGTAGGAGTAAAATCCCCAGTTTTAAAATGTTTAATCTTTTCTCATTATATGTGCAAAGCTTTTCTGCCTGGCATTGTTTGAACAGAAATCAGTTTTATGGAAGGGGTGGGGGCGTTAGTTGTGAACCTGAACAGCTGCTTTTGATATCCTTTTAGAAATGAAGTTGACTGCTACTCAGATTCAAAGTCAGATGAAATAAAAAGACAAAAATGTGAATTTATTGTGCAAAACTTGTTTGAAGTCTTTAGGAATTGGAAACACTGTAAGTTGATGCAGCTTTGCTTCGTGTTTGTAGCTTTCAGCCGCTATGTTTGTTGCTTCATATTTCAGTGTAAATCACAAATGATTTTAGAAAGATACAAAATTTAGCACTTTCTCTAAAACGGATGAAACATTAGCTTTGTTACTCGTGTGTAACTCAAGCTGTTTCCATCCAGTAAGGACCTCTTTAAATAGGACACCTCCTTAAAGATAAATCATTACTTTAACCACTATGACATTTGAAACAGTTTGTACTTGGTGTCACGGTTGACTGAAATCTGAAGCTGATCAATCCACTGAAATGTTGGGACTGATGAATAAAGTGATGATGATGATGAGTGAAGAATCATTTCTAAGTTGTGGAAGTTGTTTGTGTCAGATGATCAGTTCATCATATCAAATCTATGAACACAGCAAAGATCACATTTTTCTGCAGAAAAATGTTACCAAAAATAAATGATAGTTTTGTGTTTTAATAGATGGTCTGATGTGTGCTTCACAAATGAACTGCAAGGCTGAAACACAAGAACATTTATTTGGTTTAATAATGCACAAATGACAAAGTAATATTTTTACCATTTTTATATATATTTTGATGTGTTTTTATGCTAAAGATGAAATTATACAGATGCAACAATATAACATTTCCTAAGATGTTTATCACGAGTTCAATGAATTTTCCTCAAAGCAAAAATATCCTCCATGGCCATGTTTAACATGTATCAAAGCTACATGAGTAATTTGTCKGATTTATTTTTAAAGTTTTCTGAAATCGAACTTAAACATTTAAATGTTGAAAGCAAACTGGATAGAAACATTTTACATGACATTAAACCTCCACTTCCTTAATGCTACACAATGACTGATAAATATGAAACAATAAAACCTTCAACATGAGAAAGCAATGTCAGTTATTGTGATAAACTTGAACAAATACATGCACCACTACTTTGATCAAAAACCAACAACACGAGTACAAACATTTTAAGAWTCTGTACTCGGGTTTAAAACAAAACTAGTATTTGTACAGTGGCACATTGTGCAAACAGGAACAGCTCAAACTAAGATCAGGGTTTTATAGAAAGCTCTGCTTCAATCTTTCTGCTCCCTCCAAAAGCCTCGATTGTGATTGATGGCCTGAAGAAGCCTGGTCTTCATGGTCCTCTCCACCGGGTATCTCCTGTAGTTGGGGAGCAGTAACAAAGTGTGGCAGGTGAGCGACTCGGGCAAATGGTGYTCAGAGGCGTTGGGCAACACGGCCACTCTCATGATGACGTACTCCATTCCCGTGAAGGGCACGCGGTCAGAACCTGTGAGGAACACTGGAGACACAAACGTCCCACAGTGAACATATGAAATACAACACAGCAAACATTTTTACTAAGWGTGTAACTAATGTGCTTTAAAGTTTAACATAAGACATGTAAGATGGAAACTTACAAAGAAACTTTTTCTTCTCCTCTGTTGTCAGCTTTTCAAACACCTCCCAAAAGGTAATGATGTTTGGATGGTCAGCATGGTAGTCTCCTTCATAAACAGTGTTCTGTAAAATAAAAATAAAAACATTGAACGTTTGAGGTTCCTGATAATGATGTCACATTTTTAGTGACTAAACAATGGGAATGTAATGGTGGAATGAAGGTTATCTGCCCTCGTGCGTCACTAAAGTCCACAACATTCATCTGTTTGTCATATGTGACCCATCACAGTGAAATGACACCAGGGCTGAACAGATCAGACATCACAATAACAAAGAGATCATTCACACACACATCCTGGCATAATTTAGGGTCTCCAATGAACCGAACATGCATGTTTTGAACAGTGGGAGGAAGCTGGACCATCTGGAGAAACACACACGCACAAGGAGAACATGTAAACTCCATCTCAGACATGTGCCTTTAAAGAAAATGTTCATGGCTCAAGTTTCTCCACAAAAACAACACAACTGACAATGTAACCAGTGACACAAAATCACYACAGCCCTGTTTGTGGTAACTACCACCACGAAAAACTATTTTTCTGAGGTCAACGTGTTCTGTGTGACACAGTGCTGCAACAAATATCGGTACATCTGAGCTCACCTGCTTGAAGACCTCCCAGTTGTAGTTCTCATGACCCACCRTCACTGACTGCAACTCCTCCGGCTGAAAGAACTCCACCACATCAATGTTGCACACTTTGAAAAAACCCCTCTTGAACAATTCAAACACTCCCTCCACTGATTTGTTGAAAATGTGGTTGACACAGGCGGCAACAAACTCTTTCCTATTGATAAAAAAAATGTAAAGAAGCACATTGACAACCATCAGCTCATTGTTTGAACTCTAAAGGTATCYAAGTGTAATTTATAAATTTTTTGTTAATAAGACAATTTCATGAACAGTTCGCAGAGTGAAGCAGAAGCTGTTTTCAGAGCTGAACACAAACTGACAAATGCAATAGATCTTTTAAAGATTGTGAGGATGACAGTAATGGACATCATTATACTAATATTTAACATTTTAAACACACCTGTTTGACCACGTGACACGTTTTCCAGCTTCGTTTGGATCTAGTTCACATTCCTCACCACCCCAAGGCACCTGAATGCAACGTCAGACAGTTTCATTAACTTTCAGATCCAGCTCCACATTTCTAACAGTTTTTTATTTAAACATGAGAGGAAAACTGGTTCATTTCCAGTCCGATTTTGCAAACCTACAGTGAAAGAAAGCTCCAGTGCTTCAACTTCATCAGGACTGTAGTCCTCCAAAATGCACCTCCAAGATCTTAACACACAATAAGCATTGATAATAATCATTTTGATAATTACAGACATATCTAAAAACATTATTCTTATTTTTAAAAATGTACAATTTACATGTAATCATGTAGAAGTGTTATGCATTAGTAAAATAGCCTTACTCTGCCAGAACAGGTTCAAACTCTTTCATGTCGTCCAGAGAAGTTTTGACTTGGAGCAGCTTCTTGAAGAGAGCCAGTGGGAAAGGCAGGTGTATAATGTTGTGGTTGTAAAGAGCCAGRCCGCACAAAATGCCAAACAGGAAGTACTTCTTCTCCTCCACGTTTGGCTTTAAAAAAAAAAAAAAATCAAATTCCGATTAAGTACAGATAAAATGTACAGAAAACTAAATTGAGCACAAGAAAGAGGTAAAATAAATAAACAAAACTACAGTATGAATGTTTAATGATGAATCCAATTKCCCTTTGGGATCAGTAAAGTATTTTTGAATTGAACTGAATTGAAAACCTGAAAAAAAGCTGAAATTAGCCTAAAATAGCTTTAAAAAGTTGCTGAAATCAGTACAAATAAACAAAGAGCACATGATAGCTAAATTAAGCAAGATGAGATTATTACAAAAAGGTGAATTTAGCTGAAAAAAGTGCCAATTTGCTAAACAGTAAAAACACAGAAAACAGCTGAAATTAGAAGCACAAAAAATGATACCTCATAGCGGTAACATAATGACCCCCGCAYGCACAAATGCACCGGAACTCACACTGCTAGGTGTATCCCAAAATTGTAGTTGTTTGGATGGGGGTCTTTTCTTTGGCGGGGGGGCATTGGCTGACCTGATGGATAGCCCCTCATCAGAGCTAAACAACCAATGAAAATCTGAAGCTCCTATGTTTAATAGTTTTTGAGCTATAACCATTTTTGTATGTCCAGATACCACTTTTTCAGATAAATTGGGGGTTCCGGGGGGGCACTGATTGGTGGGCCTGATGGATAGAGCTTCATCAGAGCTAAACAACAAAAGAAATCTAAAGCTCCTATGTTGAACAGTTCCTGAGTTATAAGCATTTTTGCATGTCCTGACACCCCCTCTGTGAAAGGAGCCCCCTCCTCAAATATGGGGTGTATCGTAAAAATGTTTGCTGGCGCAGTGTAGGTCAGACTCATCTACAGTCCTGCCAAATTTCATGTCGATTGGTGCAGCTGTTTTTGTACTACGGTTGACCAAAAATCACTGCAAAAAAAAAAAAACAGTACGAAAACAATAGGACTCCTGCTTACGTTTCGTGTGCGGGGGTCATAATTAGCAGAATATCAGATAAGGTCAAAATGATAGCTAAAAAGCAGAAAAGAGCACAAATAATCAAAGGAGAAGCTGAAGGAGGCTGAAATAAGTACAGAGTAAAAAAAAATGCAGTAAAAGGTTCATGAACATTTTGAGGGGTTCCAAGGATGTTGGAAACAGCTCTGTTTATTTTCTGTAAGAAAAAACAAGGTCAACAAAGCTAAATATCACAAAAGTATAATTGCTGAAATACCAAAAGTCTGAGCCGGAATGTCCTGAAGGAGCTGAATGTTTTGATATATTAGTTRTTGAAGCAGAAAAAAAAGTGCTGAATAAGATATATACCAAATAACGTACTGGAGGAAAAATTATCTTAACTGTGTGAATGCTTGATAAACATTCACACAGTCAAATCTGAACACAGAAACATAAAGTTTGGACTCATGCAGGAGTTCGATTTCCCATTTTAAGTCTTCAAAAATCTGATTTTTTTCAAATCAGATCCAGTTTTTTTTCATATGAGGTACTAAACTAAGCGACCTCAGACAACTTGTAWATCATTGAGGTAGAGAGTATACAGTTAATCCAGACATTAATATCATCAATATCAATGTCATGCAGTTTAAAGCTAAGAATAAATAAGACCTGCAGTGTGGCCATAGCCTAATATTGTATTTTCATGTACAGTTTGTCTTTGAATAWATGGTCTTACCTTTGGGGGAAACCAGGCCAGAGTCTTGCTTTCATTGTAAATAAACATTTCAGATTCAGGAGCCATTAGCTCCTCAAACAGGTGGAGGAACAAGTCCTTTTTGTTCACAGTCATGATCTCCCTGTCATCCTTGAATTGCACCTGAGTTAATAAATAAAAACAAAAGAATAAAGATRCTGAAAACACTATGATTGCTATTAACTTGTAATCATTTTGATCTTTATATTTACCAGAAGCTCCCTTTTGAAGACAGAGTGATCGGTTGCAGCGAGCTGTCTGAAGGTGTCCTCRACCAAGTGTGTTCGTCTCAGAATCAGTTGGAAAACTGGAGCACAAGACGACTCTGGAGCGTCCAAAATCCCCTGTTCAGGCCACGGTACACCCAATGCACGCGCAAAATGATGTGCTTCCTGTTGTTACAAAACTCTGTCTTATTAGAACATCTTAGCAGCAGATGTTTGCAGAAAAAAGCAGAATCACCGATGTGGCAATATATTTATGAACGATGCATTTGATCATAAAATGTACCTTTGACACACGTGCGAAGATGTTAAACACTGCCATCTTGCAAATCAGAGGCAAAACAAATGGATAGCGACAGAAAATGACAGGTGTGCTCTCCGGTGTGAACTCATCATCCTTATAAAAAAAAAAAAAATGTCTTTGAAACAAAATGAAACAATTATGGCAGAAACAGATCTGACGCTTTAAAACACAGTTCTTACCCTATTATAATACCCCAACCAAAGCGCGGTATCTGAAAATGCATTAACAGTCGAGCAGATTTCCTTCACATAAAAGGTGTTCAGTGGGACTGTGTACGACTTCCCAGTTTTGTTTGCCTGTAAAGAAATGGATTGAATAAAAAGCAAAGACAGAAACATTAGAAATAAAGCCCTCTGTACACATTCCCACTCATTTAAGCACCTCCATCATGTGATCAGTAAACGTCAGGTCAGTCGACTAAAAATATAAACTTCACAAATGGCTGAGTAGTACAAGGTAATGATCAATATGTGTTYAATTTTAAAGTTAAATGATTGAGTTCATAACTTCTAATATTCACCCCAACTCAGAAACCAGACTGAAATGAAGCGTTAAAMACTGACTTTGTAGAGCAGCTTCAGGGCTTCCAGCAGAAACTTGACTCCTGGGTTGTGAGTTTCTAAGAGGCCGTTCTTTAGCATGAAAGCCAGGGCGTTTTTGAAAACCAAGATGTGTCTCGTCAGTAAAGGGGTCGACAGAGAAGACCACCAACTCTCTACAAGGAAAAAAAAAGGCATCCGAGTTACACAATATGAATTAGAAAAGAAAAAAACAAATTCAGACCTCTGTTAGCTGTACATTTACTTTTAAACTACTGTATCTATCACTGACTGCCACAGGCTGTGTTCATGTTTGTCTGCAGTGTTAGCAAAATATCTCATATACCACTGAACGTTTTTTATTGAGCATTTCAAAAAKAAATCCTTAGATCTATAACTATTAAATTTTGGAATGAGTTCAGTTTAAGATGGCTGCCGTAGATGTCACACAAGAAAACTGAAAAACAGCAGTTTTACAGAGATGTTAGTAAAATCTGGTGGTAGCAACTGAAAGTCATGCAAAACCTATAGTTCGAGTGTCAACTGATTGCACAAGATCGGTTTTCAAAACTTTGCTATTATCTTTTGAAGTGTACTCTGTGTTGGAGTCAACCTTAGCCAGCACTAAAATGGCTATAACCTGGTCAAATCTGCAGATTTTAACCTACAGCAGCTGACAGTCATTGCCAACACATACTCTAAGTGCTGATACATTTTCTGCACATACATTTATTGTCTTAATAACGTACTTTATTCAACACTTGAAATGAAATATAAAATAGAACGAGGAAGTTTAAGTTGTTTTATCTAAAATAAAAAGCRCATCCAGTGTGTTAATGTCTACCTTTACATTAAAGTAGACATATCCTGCTTTTAAACATTTTTTTCCACATTTAAATCATTCAGATGGGGTCTATATAAAGTGGAACTGCAATGCTTTGGTCTGAATTCCTCCTTATTGTAACTCCACAAGCCCCTCTTTCACCCCTTTTTTGAAGTGTCTCAGATAAACTCGTTTTGACACTGTCTCTTTAAATTTAAACGAGGTGCTTCACATTCTGCCCCCACTTCCAGACCTCACTAATGAGAGAACTGAGATGACAAAAATGTAGTTTGTACGTCCAGACCTTACCAAACTGTCACAGAAAATAGAGAAAACTGAACGGGTTGAAAAATACGGCCCACGCAGCAATGAGAGAAACTAAATTCTAATTTTCTACACTCCTAGAGACTCAAAGAACACAACAAAATGCATTTAACGTCTAAAAAAAGTGTTTTTTTTTTTTTGCATAGGTCCACTTTAAATTTGAAAAAGGTATTAATTTCCATTACTAAATAAAACATTATTTACTTAGTGCTGCTTGTGCCTTCTCGCTGAGATGAGCTATTGCAATAGCCAGAGGCAAAGCTCTAGTCATCACGCTGGAGTCCTCTTGCAGAAGGGGGCACGTSAGCAAAATCAGAATGATCTCCGGAGATTTCATGACAGTTCTTGAGATCATAATCAAGTCCAACAGGACATCAAGATTCACCTGAATGGAAAGTAGCTTCATTAAATTACAAAACAACGTTTTCACATGTCTGATGGCCCACATCATGGAAGGGTATCTGGGAAATATCTCCTTAACTGATTGTTTGATCCATGGGATTGCCAACATCTGGTCAAAAGCTCGGCTGGCAGCTTCAAGGTCYACTGTTAAAGCACCTGCCTCCAATGGTGTCCCACTGATGTCAAAGAGTGTTAAATCAATAAAAAAAGAAAAACCTGAGTGAGACAACTAAATACTTAACTCTTTGACTCACTTCACTCACAAACAAATAAAAACTGGACTTACTTGGCTTTTGTAAAACTGGCAACGAGACTGGAACATGTCAAAAACATYGACTCTATTTCTCTGTTGCCCAAAACAAGAGAACATTAAGAGCATTAGAAACAAAAATTTAACACAACTCGTCTTTAAAATATACAGAAACATAACAGAAACAAGTTACCTCCTTGTCTCAAYGTTGCTGTGTGTCCTTGTTAACCATCTTTGCAGTTTGGGCTCATCAAGCCTTCCGGTTATTTGCCCATTTCTACGAGCTTTTGCAGCAATCTTAAAAAAAAATGAAGAAAATGAAAAGAAGTTAAAGTCAATTCTGATGTTTCTTCTGCACTAATAGTTAGTTTTGAGTAAATTAAACATTACCTTTGCAGATGAAGTGTAAATGAAGTTYGTATTCCAACCAGCTGATATTTTCAAGTTTGCTTAAAGACATAAATTATAATTTTAATAACATAATTAATAATATAATTCATATTTTTTAATTAGTTGGACTTTACAAAAAGAACACAGAGGATTCAGAACTCAATGATTACCATTTCAATTTGACTTAAGCCTGAGGAATTGTCCACATGTAAGAATAATTTGCATTTCTGTCTCATSTAACACGTTTCATCTATGATAATTCTTCAACAAATCATGTAATACAGCACCGTACGTACCACTTGGCATCTCTGAGTCATTATCAGAGGTCCACGGAAGCTGAACCAGGACTGGAGACAGACTGCCCTCTCGCCGTCCGGTCCCCATCTGACCTTTGTCTCCACTGCCAAATGCCCACAGCTGGCCAGAGGAACTCAAAACCAAAGTGTGACGCCTGAAAAGCCAACATTATTATGAATTTAATTGGATAAAGTTTTTAACAACATGATGTGTCAACATTTAAACAAACAGTAAACCAAAGCATTTTAAAATAAAACACTAGTTTATAGTGTACCTCCCACATGCAATCTGGGACACAGGTCCGCCAAGACCGTCAACTTGTCTGGGTCTCATTTCATTGGCGTTGGAGGCGTGACCGAGCTGACCGTGGCTTCCCTCTCCAAAAGTGAAAACGTTTCCTTCCTAGAAGTCACATAAWTTAGATCGGGGTGGACAACATTTGTTTTCAAAACACTAGAATTACTTTTTAATGCCACTGAAATTCACACATATAACTGGAAAACATTTTTCCAAGCAGCAGCATGTTGGTACCTTTGTTAACAYGGCAGTGTGAGACTCTCCACAGCTTATGAAGGAGACACTCAGAGGTCTGAGGGCAGGTACCAAACAGACGTTGAACCTGCCTGTTGGCGAGCAGAAGAAAAGTTGAAACTGATAGAATTTCAAACGAACTTTCAAACCACGCTGAAGCTAAACAGAATCCTGTCAACGTGACTTACATGTGAGATGTAGTTACAAGGAAAAGCTGAGAAAGCGGAAATTCTTGTACCTTTTTCATCCACCCTGTTGAGCCCCAGCTGACTGTACTTRTTGGCACCACAGCAGTACACCAGGCCGGGGAGCGTGAGGAACATAGTGTGGCTTCCTCCGGCTGAAATCTGAGTCACTGCGACCCCGTTCAGGGCGCACACCAGGACAGGTTTTAGCTGTTGTGACACCTCCTTCCCCAGGCCCAGCTGACCATGACTGTTTGAACCCCACGAGAAGACATCTCCACCTGAAATGTAATCAAATGTAATATTTTTTTCTTGTTTCACACTACATCCAAATTGTATCATTAAATCAAAGTRTGCCATAACCACACAGTTTGGACTTCATTAAATCTTTGGTTTTTACATACAAAGTGTCACTAATTCATGTTTTGGATGCCAATAAAAATAATATTGCCAAATTGACTCTCACTGTCCGTCCACACGTGATTTAGATTTTATTGATTGAGATTCTAAAGCCACAATAGCTGCGTTTTCATTGYTAATGTGCGYAAAACTTTGTTGATATTCTGTTAACGTAAAAAAAAAAACAGTTTCGCAATTGCGGTGTGTCCATTAARTAAGTAAAGCTATTAAAGTGCCTGTGACATGCCTATCCTTCAAATACAAAAAGTCAAAGAAAGCATCTTTATACTTGAGAAAATTGGCATAGTACACATGATTTTACCCATTTTGTCACATAACTGAACTATTTTCTTTTAAATTTGGCTCAGCTAAAGTGAAACAGGAAGTGACATCAAAGGGGAACTCAAACTTGCTGGTCTCYGTTTATTAAAACAAAATTTTTTAAACTCACTCTTCTGCGTGTCTCTTTGATAGTGACTAAAAATAATCTACAGAATCAGATTCTTCTCTACTCTCTGTGTTAGCTTTTGTAACGACACTGTTTACATGCTGAAATTCCCCTTTGACATCACTTCCTGTTTCTTCACATGGAAATATCTTAATAACCGTTCATCTCAGCAACGTGAAATTTGTTTTGAAATACATTATTAATGTTATCTTTCCAAAAATGCATTCATGTTTATTATAAAAATTTGACGTCACAGGCACTTCAAAGTCACGCGTGAATACGTTAGTTTTCGTGATACGTCATTACAAACATGGAGGCAAAGGATGTAATCAACATGCATAATTGCTAACACGGCACTAGCGCTCACCATCAGAGGAGACATCGGCGTCTTATCGAGGCTTTCCAGCAACAAGCCCCTTATACCTGGGAGCAGCTACGTATAGGGATGGTACCGAATTCTATACTTTTTGATGTACAGACCAAATTTTGTGGGTACTACCGAGTATCTATTCACGTAACATCAAACGGTACCATGTTTCGGTACCGAAACACATTATTGCGACCTGTTTGGCGTAAGAGTGGTGAGTTTTCCATGCTTGTCCTGAACGCAGTATCACACAAAAGTGTAATGACATCAGCAGCTGCTGGTTCAGACAGTAAACAGAGGCAGAGCTCAGTGAACGTAGCATAAAAGCCTCGCAGCTCCTGGAGTAAAACTCGCCGAACAGATCGCCTCTGAATTATCTGTGGATTAATTAGCTTGTGAGCACGACATTTGCTTGCTCAAAGTAAATAAAGTACCGCCACCTTTTTTATTTCATCCATCATTAAAGGTGCAGTATGTAACTTTTCTAAAAATATGTTTTTAACATATTTGTTCACTCTGTCACTATCTCCTGACAGATTGATATTAGACAGATAAGCTATGGAGGAAAAAAGAGTCCTCTTGCTTTTCCCGGTGGTACTACAGGCT